ATACTGTTCTCCATAGTGGCTGAACCAATTCACATTCCCACCAGCAGGGCAAGAGTGTTCCCTTTTCTCCACACCCTCTCCAGCATTTATTGTTTCTAGATTTTTTGATGATGGCCATTCTGACTGGTGGGAGATGATATCTCATTGTAGTTTTGATTTGCATTTCTCTAATGATTAATGATGTTGAGCATTCTTTCATGTGTTTGTTGGCAATCTGTATATCTTCTTTGGAGAAATATCTATTTAGGTGGAGACCAATTTTAAGTGATTGATTAAGTGATCAGATTTATGTGTTAGAGTAAACAGAGTAGGGACAGCATTGGGAAGGAGTGACTGGAGGGGAATTTGAAACTGCAGGCAGAGATCTCTTAGAGAGCCGTCACTGTAGTAGAAGTGGGAAATGATGAAGTTGGGATAGGAAGTGGATAAGGATTTAGACCTGATTGGATTTTGGGGTCAAGGCAAGTTTTAGTTATTCCAAATGTAGTTATCCTAAATCTAGGATTTTTGACCTGATGTTTGGTGGCTTTTGCTTGCAGCCAGATTATTTTTGGCTAATGCTGTTCTCTGAGATGATAGAAACAGGAAGAGCAGCAGGAAGATGATCTTAGTTTTGTAGATGCTTTATTTGAAAGGCCTGAGAAACCTACTAGTGATCATCCAAAAAGCAATGGGGAAATATATGACCTGAGATTGGGGTAAAGAAGCTACCCTGAGGAATAAAACGAAGCCTGAGTCTAGAAAAGGGCTTCAAGTTTATCATCTTCATAAAGTGCCCTTAGCTTTATAACTTTGTATGATTTTTTATGCCTTTGTAACTTTCCCATAAACTCTGCTTATTTCTAAGTTATTATTAGTAAAGCCCTCAAAATGGAACAGGTTTTTGCATTTACCTTTGGTCAAAATAATGGGGAGAGGAACCTCATGGATTCCTCCAGAATTTTGAGTTCCTTGAGGAACAGTTTAGAAGTGTGTCACTAACTGCATCATCACCCAGAAATGTTTACCTTTTTTCTTTATTGAGTGCTTAATATGTGTTACCAGTCAAGTAAACAAGCAATTACAGCGTAGTATTGTATTTTAAGTAGTAGATTAGGGAATATACTAGTCTTTGGGGATGGGGTCAGGGAATGGTTCACGAAGTGATGCATTAGCTGAGATAGAAGAGTGGACCCAGGAGTTTGGGTAGAAGTAAGGAGGTGAGGAACTGAGATCAGAATATGCAAAGCCCCTGAATTGAGGGAAAGCTAAGCTTTTTAGCGGAATTGAAAAGGTGGAGGGGAGAGGGAGGGGATGGAGGGAGAGAGGATGAGATGCTAGAGACAAAACACTTGATATTTAAGGCCTGTGGGCATTATCCTGAAGACAGTATGAAAATCTTAACATTTTTAAGGAATGACAAAATATTACCACTTTAAGAAGATAACTGGCTATGGTGGGGAAGTTCAAATACAGAGGCAGCTTTCGGAGTCAATGTGTCTAGGATGGGGCTCAGAAATTTACTTTTTAAAATTTTGATTTAATTTCAGTGCACCCAACTTTTTTTGCGATACGCAGGCCTCTCACTGTTGTGGCCTCTCCCGTTATGGAGCCTTCGGACGTGCAGGCTCAGCGGCCATGATTCACGGGCCCAGCCGCTCTGTGGCATGTGGGATCTTCCCGGACCCGGACACGAACCCGCGTCCCCTGCATCGGCGGGTGGACTCTCAACCACTGCGCCACCAGGGAAGCCCTCACCCAACTTTTTGGAAACACCTGAATTAAGAGGGTTCTTTAGTAGGGCTGTGAATTTTGCTTACTAAACTCTTACTGTGGTGGTGTGGCCAGTGGGGGAATCTTTTTTTCCTCATTTGGGCTAAATGTGAAGCCTGTTCTTCCTCCAGGGCAAGTAAACAAAGAATTAAACTGGGATCAGATTAAAGTGGGCTCCTTGATTTGAGAAATTCAAATATGATAAAGTCCCAGTTTAGCAATATATGTAACTTTCTTTTGAAATTTTGTCTTTGCTTATCCCCAGAGCAATTAGAGTTCTTGATTGGAAAACAAAAGCTGGGGACTATCTATTTAAACGAACTGTTTAAATGGAAATTACCTAGATAAGAGCAGGAGATACATACACATTAAATATCCCTGATCAGGTCTTGTATCCCAGGAGTTTTGGAAGGTTATGTAAGTCTGGGGGTGAGATGGAGCAGCAGTGAGAATGTGGGCTGCTAGGGGAGGTTAGGAACTGGGGGTTTGCAAAGGGAAGAGGAGCTTTCACATGGTGAAGAATGGTTGCTTTTTTTTAGGCCAATTTTCCTTTTTAAAAAAAAAATGTTATTGATTTATTTTTGACTGCATTGGGTCTTGCTGCTGCGCGCAGGCCTTCTCTGGTTGCAGTGAGTGGGGGCTACTCTTCGTTGCAGTGTGTGGGCTTCTCACTGTGGTGGCTTCTCTTGTTGCAGAGCACGGGCTCTAGGCTCACGGGGCTCAGTAGTTGTGGCTCGTGGGCTCTAGAGTGCAGGCTCAGTAGTCGTGGCGCACAGGCTTAGTTGCTCCGTGGCGTGTGGGATCTTCCTGGACCAGGGCTCGAACCCGTGTCCCCTGCACTGGCAGGCGGATTCTTAACCACTGTGCCACCAGGGAAGTCCTAGGCCAATTTTCTTAATCGTAAAGCCCTACCTAGTTGTTCCATATAGAATGGTTTTTCCAAATACCAAGTCACTTAAACCAAAATATACTACACTTTCTCTTTTCTATTCTTTGTTATTCTTCTTGGTTATTCAGTCCTTTAAAAATCTTTCGTGTCTGTCTTCCTAAATCTCTCCTAACCCGTCTTCCTAAATCTCTCCTAACCCCTTCCCATCCTATTTACCCTCTCCCCGTCATCAGTACTGGTTAAATTTAGGTGCTCATCTTTTTCATGGAATATTGCATTGATTCTTTGTATCCCACAGGTCTAGGACCCTTTAGTTGTTTCCATTTTAATATGTGCCCTTTGAAAGATTCTGATTTTCAGATGTCTTCTTTTAATACTTCACTCATGCTAAATTAATTATATTTCTTATAAGTGTCATATTCTTTAACTTTTTCTGCCTTTATTTTTGTAGTGCTTTTCCCATTATCTCTTGGGAAATCCTTCCAGTGTCGTCATATTTTCTTTTTTGGTAATAAGGAACCAGAACTTTATTTTTTTCTGATAGCTCTCAATTTTAAAATTTTGGCAACTAATTCAGTTAAAAAACATGCTGTCCAGCATGTCAGAAACATTACAACCTCATTTATAAAGCCTGCTTTGACCATTTTCCTTTCTTCCTGCAAAGTTAACTGCTCAGTCTTTGTGCAGTCTAATATGTTAACCCACAACTTTCAAATTGTTATAAAATAATTCAAATACAAATAGTAACATCAAAGTTTTTAACTCATGAAAACTGGTTCAATGAGAAATTGGGCTTTATGTAGTCAGTTTAATAAGGAATGGTGAAATAAAATTGCTAAGATATAAAATTGGTTAATATACTATAGGGAGGGTATTTAAGCCTAGCCTTTGGGATAGTATTCTCTACTGGACAGAAAAAAGTGCATTTCACTGTAATAGTTTTTTTTTTTTTTACAAATTTACCTTTCAATTTAGAAACTACCTGGGCCCTAATTAGTTGTAAATGGGAAATCAGACAATCAGATGACCTCATGTGAACTTATTGTAAAATGTTCTGTCTGGAGTGACATTCAAAGTCACACAATCGTCTTTATGTCTTATTTTAGATTTTGAATAATTTGTCTGAAAACATGTTAATTTTATACTATCAGTGACCAGCCACCTCTCTGTATCTTCTCTTTTTAAAATATTAATTTACGAGAGTTTCCAGAGTCACTAATGGACGGTCCACATCTATATTTTTTGCTCTGTTTTCATTTGTGCACTGGTTCCATATTAAATTGTCTGCAGTAGAGTTCTGTTAGAACACTAACCATCAACTTGGATATAATGGGTTTTCAGTATATGTGCAATAATAGAAGTATTTATAAGACATATGTATAGAACAAAGTCAGCAAGATACCATTTACTTTAATGAGCTTAATTTTTTTTTTTTTCCGGTATGCGGGCCTCTCACTGTTGTGGCCTCTCCCGCTGCGGAGCACAGGCTCCGGACGCGCAGGCTCAGTGGCCATGGCTTACGGGCCCCGCTCCTCCGCGGTATTTGGGATCTTCCTGGACCGGGGCACGAACCTGTGTTCCCTACATCGGCAGGCGGACTCTCAACCACTGCGCCACCAGGGAAGCCCAATAAGCTTAATTTTGAAGTTTAAATAGGAGTTTCAGATAGAAAGGGTAGAACAAACCAAGTAGAGTGACCAATGTGTGCTGGTTTAGGGCTTGAGTCTATCTAGGTTATTGCCAATGGCCACAAGTTTCTAACCAACTTCTGGTCTTTTTCTTCCCCTGTTTTAATGTAACTGAAGTGTTACCAACATGGTTATTTTCCTAAAAACCATTTGATCACATTCCTTCCCTGCTTGAAAATATTAATTGCTTCATGTTGACAACAGTAGATTTCATTTTGCTGGGCCTTGGAACTCTTCTCTTTCCCCCCACTTGGTTTCTTCAGCCATGATTTTCACACCGTACTGTTCGTTGAAAACATAGGCTTTTGCTCTGGCTCACTGTTCCCCATTTGTCATTCCCTCAGCAGTTGACTTCCTCAGAGTCAGATTGTTCTCATTTACCTTTCTGCCTGGCCAAATCCTACATTTTCTTTCAGATCCAGCTTGCCTCTTCATTCCACAGTACGACTGTCTACACTGTTTTGGCTCAGGAGGATCTCCTTGTCATAAAGTTTGGTTGTATTTGTCCATATAGATATGCAAGCATATCCTGTCTGGTAAATCTGTGGGTGGGTTGTCTCAGTTTCACCTGGAAAGCAGTAAGCCACTTTTTGTACTTGGGTCACATATAGTACTTCCTATAGAATTTTAAAAAATGTGTCCCACATATCAATATGTTTTTGTATTTGTAGACCTGAAAAATGTCTGAAAATTCCAGTGACAGTGATTCATCTTGTGGTTGGACTGTCATCAATCATGAGGTATGCTACTTAATACTTTTTATAAGGCAGTTTGTAATATTACAGTGTTAACAGTGATGTAAACTGGGTTCTTTGAAGGCTATTAGTTTTTTGCATTTAAGCATAAGGTTCCATTGTCTATAGCTTTTCCCACCTACATTTCACTTCACTGCTGAAAACTCTTCACGAGCCAGCATGTTATTGGACATTGCTTTCCTCAGCTTTGAGACATTAGGCAGGTATTTACTGAGGGCTTATTATTGGTCAGGTCCTGTGCTTTACTTATATTCTCATAATTTTAAACAACCCTCTGTGGTACAGATTGTTTTCATTCTCATTTCATAGTTGAGAAGACCAAAGCTTACAGAGATTCAGTAATTTGGCCAAGATTATGTAACTAGAAAACATCAGAGCCTGCGTTTAAACAGACCAAGGAGCATGGAGAACATGTGTTCCACCCATGTTATGTTACGTTACGTTACGTTATATTATCATTTCAGAACTTGATGGAAAAAGGACTATGGCTAGAACTCTTACAAAATGAATTTGATTATAGAAATATGATGTTACATAACTAGTACATAATAAACAGTAATTTATTTTCTCACACTGGTAATATATGTTAATTACAGAAAAATCATAAAATAGTGATGTATAGAAGCAGTAAGATAAAAACTATACCTACTTAAAGTGTTAATGGATTTATCTATAATTTTCCTGTTTATTTTTAGACTCAAGCCTCACTTATTTTCCTTCATCAATAAAAATTTTAAACGCTATCTTTTACAATTCCTTTGATAATTTAATATTTAGACAATTGGTTAGTCATGACTTCTAGAGAACAACATTAACCAAAGTTTCTGCAAGAAAGTTTTAAAATTTATTAGCAGCTGTAGCAGTTGAAATTAATGTGGTTTCTTTTTCTTCTTTCTTTTTTTTAATAAGTGACTTTTCTATTTTTAACCTGTTTTCTCCAAAGCTTAGATCAACTCTCATAGTAGCAATTTCTCCTTCAAGGATAATTAACAGTATAGAAGTAAGGCAGCTGTGGGAGTCTATAGTGTGAAGCAAGATAGCAAACTTTTCTGGCATTTAGCCAAGTGTGTCATTTGGGCGTTCTTTATTGGAAATACCTTGTCACAGAGTTGATCATATTTGTACCTTTATCCTTCTTCCTTCCATATCCTGTTATCAGGTTCTACTCTTTCTTGTTAATGTCTCTTACATGTATTTCCTTTTCCTTTACCATTGCTACCGTTCTGATTTAGGCCAGATCTGGTCTCCCCAGTGACTCACAATTCAACCCAAACCTTGTGTCTGTTACTACCATTCTCCTGCCACTTTAGGCAATCCCAAAATCTTATACTCAGAATTCTCTTTAGGACTCAACTCAAACCCACTGCTTTAATGACGTCTGTTAGTTTTTGCTGTTGTGAGTTATGTATATCAGGAGAACTCAGACCTTTTGATTTCATGGATTACTAAATTATAGGAAAATTGAGGGAGGGGCCTGGAGAGAGACAGAATCATTAGTGGATAACTTATTTTGCTAATTAAGATGAGAAAAAAACCCTGTTATAAAATCCACTTTTATTAAAGAAAAGACAGTCTGACATCAAAGTAAGAAGGAAAACCTTGGAAGAATAAAAGAGTCTGAAATTTTATAAGGAAAGTTTACTCCATTAATCTAATAGGTTAATTTTAATCCTTGCCCTTAAACCTTTTCAGTCATATGTTGCAATAATAAGTAGTTATTTGCGTGTGGCTGTTTCTCTGAATAGGCTATAAATCTGAATTTTAGATTTCAATTTTTCATACCCTGTGACACTAGCAAAATGTCTTGCTTAGAGTAGTTCCATAAGTGTTGAGTAGAAGCAAATTAATAGAAATAGCTAAATTTAGAAACATCCTCTGGGATTCAGATTTATTGCTTGGGTTTATAGCATAGTTAGAGTGTTTGACTTTTAGACTGACTTCTTTTATTTTATTGTTTTTAAGATTTTAAAAAATTTATTTATTTTTGGCTGCGTTGGGTCTTTTGTTCCTGTGAGTGGGGGCTACTCTTCATTGTGGCTCGTGGCTTCTCACTGTGGTGGCTTCTCTTGTTGCAGAGCATGGGCTCTAGGCATGCGGGCTTCAGTAGTTTTGGCATGCAGGCTCCGTAGTTGTGGCGTACGGACTTAGTTGCTCCACGGCATGTTGGATCTTTCCGGACCAGGGCTCAAACCCATGTCCCCTGCATTGGCAGGTGGATTCTTAACCACTGTGCCACAAGGGAAGTCCCAGGACTGACTGACTTTAGAATCTAAACCTATGGCTCCCCTGCTGTAGGTTTTATGGACTAAATTGAACGAAAGGAATAGATACTGGACTTCCCTTGTGGTGCAGTGGTTAAGAATCCGCCTGCCAATGCAGGGGTCACGGGTTCGATTCCTGGTCCAGGAACATCCCACATGCCGTGGAGCAACTAAGCCCGTGCACCACAACTACTGAGCCTGTGTGCCACAACTACTGAAGCCTGTGCCCCTAGAACCCATGCTCTGCAAGAAGAGAAGCTGCCGCAATGAGAAGCCCATGTGCCGCAACGAAGAGTAGCCCCTGCTCGCCACAACTAGAGAAAGCCCACACGCAGCAACGAGACCCGACGCGACCAAAAATTTTAAAAAATTAAAAAAAAAAAAAAAAAAAGGAATAGATACTGTTCCCTTTGGAGTATAGCAGCATCTGGGACTTTGAGAAATGGAAGCATCTACATGTAGTCACATCCAGCTTTGGGCAGCTGATAGATGAATAACTGATTAACACTTTTTATCTAGGGGTCTGATACAGAGATGGTGAATTCTGAACATGGTGCAGCCAGTGACAGCTGTGAGCTCACCCCAGAATGTTCATCTTTATCACAAGAGGAGCTACAAGTATTGCAATCAGAGCAGGGAGGTAAGTTTAAAGAAGTCTGATTTTTCTTTTTTTTTTTTAATAGGATATGTGAGCAACATTATGAATCTTGCCTTCTTTCTAGGTGGGCAGCCTTTCTGGCTAGTCTAAATCATCAAGTCACACTGAAAGACTACAATTTTCGTGTGGGTTAAGTGGGCAGGCCTAAAGAACCCAGTGGCACCGAATTGCCCAGGGGGTTTGTTTGTTAGTAGCTATAGTACATACTTGGGCCTCCATATGACTCTTTGATACTGCTAGTGTAAACAGTGACTAAATATTACTAACCTTGATTAAGACTAGTGATATACAAAATTATTTATTCACACAAAGGATTTACTAAACTCTTCTCCAGTTACCACACTTCAGAGTACCTTTGGTTATAGGTGGTAAATGGCATTTAACTACTGTATTGCATTAATGTTATATATTCTTCTGTGGGATTTGATGCCCATATTAATTATATAAAGGATTAAGAAACCCACATAATTAGTACATCTTCATATTTAAAAATTACTTCTTAAATTTTCTTTTAAAAATTGCATTAAAATGTAAACAGAACATTTCTCCATCAGGAGAATAAAGTGCATGTGTCAAGGCCAGAAATATAAAAGATTATACCTGTTAATCTTGTTTTCAGCTTATGTGTTGATTGCTATTCTCATTTGAACAGTGATTCTCATCTTTCATGGGTCAGAGATCTCTGAGAATCTGAAAGCTGTGGATGGTCTCTCCCAAGAAATGCATATATTTAGATATGTAAAAAAAAATTTCCATACTTCCTCAGGCATCCTTGGACCCTAGTCCACCTTCGTTGAGGAGTCTTATCTCCAAATTAATACTCTGTTAGGAGCTATATAACACACACAAATGATGTTTGGATTTTTTTCCCTTTGTTATTTTAGAGGGGTTAAATTATATGAGAAATACACATTTATGATAGAAAAACAAATGATGAGCAAAAAAATTCAAAGCCATCTATAATTCTTTTTATCTGGTGGTAACATTATACCAACAATGCATATACTTTGCTATGCATAAAACCTGATGCTTATTGTATACTGTTTTAATATTTTTAGCTTCTATTAACATTTTATAGCCTTTTTCATTAAAAATATGACATAAACTCTAATTTGTATATTGTTTTTTGAGAGTTTCTTATAAAATATATCTGCATCTGCTATGGTGACATTATCTTGTTTTTCTGTGTTCTTTTGAGGCCTTGTTTTTTATAGTCCATTTTTTATTGTAAAGATTTGTAATTTGAAGCCATAGTTTTGATTCTTGTGTTACTAGGCATTGACAGTCATTAGAATACTGGTACGTTTAAGAATTATGAATAAACTAAGAATTCAGGAAAAGTGCCGTCAATTATCTGAGAATCAGTTTTCCATATTAACAGGTTTTTACAAACACCTTGGCTTAAGTACTTTGGAATTGTAATGTAGAGATTGTTTATTTAGGGATTATGGTTTTTGGTAGATTTTTAAATGAGTTCAGTTCAGTACCTAAAATTATCCCCTGACAATTTCAAATAGTTATATTTGAAATACAGAGATCTTTTTAGTAACAATAGAGTGACTGTTATAATTACATGTGGCATTTCCTTAAATCCACTTTAATAATTAGGAATAGATTTTATCTGCCTATATTATATAATATATGCAGACAAAAAAAAAAAGTCGATGAAGTGTAATTAAATTGATCTTTGCTTTATGTCAGAGAGCAGCCAGAATGGCACAGTGTTAATGGGAGGAGCTACTTATCCAGCTTTGGAGGAAATGAAGTCAGCACTTGAGGTAACCTTGTGTTTTACTATGTGGATGTATGATAAACAGTATTTATTAGAGAATACTAATTAAAGCTTCCATTTCTATTTGTGCGTTCTGTTCCTATTTGAATTATAAATATCTTTTATTGAAAAATTTGAGATTCTGCAGGTTGGTCAGTTTTAAGATTAAAGTTAGCTTCCATATAACTCCTAATTAAGTGAGCTATCTTTTAATTTAGAAAAGCGATTTCTTGGTAATGTGTTAAAGATCTATTCATTTCACCTCTAATATTTTCTTTGGAAATATGTTGCTTTCTTGAATTATATTGAGAAATTAAGGGTTCATATCTAAAATGAAGGTTAGTTTTAAAATTTGAGAACCAACTTTGTCCTTTGGCATTTTACTTGACTTCCAGATAAAACTAGATAGCTGGATGATCTTTACATTACATAGCTTTTGAAGTTTATCAGGATAATTTAATCAGTCTTTTATGGGCTCCCTGACCACAGAGTTATGCCCAAATAAACCTGTAGAACTGGTGAGAAACAAATCCTCTCCTTTTTGTGGATATTGGGTTGGAAAGGTGGGTTTGTTTCTCAGCTTCTGCAGCCCACAAATGAATGGTAGACAGCAGTTTGATTTAATTCTGAAAGAGAGAGTTGCCAACAGGTTTGATGGTATTTTCAGACTGAAATATAAGCCTACTATTTGTTTTTGTTTTTGTTTTTGGGCTTGCCACACGACTTGTGAGATCCTAATTCCCTGACCAGGGATTGAACCCAGGCCCCTGGTAGTGAAAGTGCAGAGTCCTAACCACTGGACCGCTAGGGAATTCCCTAGGATGAACCTACTATTGTGTAATCCTTTCCTGTTGGGCAGGACTTATTTTAAACCCAGTCACCATACTACTTAAATACCATTATATACTTTGAACTGCCTAGAAAATATAAGACCCATAAATAATTGTTGAATTTGTCTCTAAAATTATGATTCTTCAGGGAGAGGAAGAAAAGTCACCTGATGGCAATCTCTATTTTGGAACTGTCAGTGATGATTCTGATATTGTTACACTTGAGCCACCTAAGTTAGAAGAAACTGGGAGTCAAGAAGAAGCAATAATTGTTAAAGAAGCACAGAGTCCAGAAGACTTTAACATGGGCTCTTCCTCTAGCAGCCAGTATACATTTTGTCAGCCAGAAACTGGTAAGAACTACATAACGGATACGCTGATAGGAGACTTAGGACTCTTGTGACCACATTTTATATAATGGCTTGTTTTCTGACCCTGAATTTCAAGTTTTGAATATGTTTGGGTAAAACTCATGAAAATTTTTTGTAAAATCTACTGTTATATCTAGTGTTTTCCTAGACCTAGGGCCTAGAGCACAGTAGTCCAATAAATACCATCTTTTATCATTGAAAGAAGAGAAAAAATAGCTTCAAGGAGATTTGTTAATGTCTCAAACACTCCAAAATGCATTTGACAATTTTTAGGTCTTTAGGAGTGGGAGATTGAGCCATTATACTTAAAAAAGTAGGACAATGTTAATAAGATTTTTAGTTACAGTGGTACAAATTTTATATTTTAGAAATAGTGAAAGAAACTTTATTGAAGCCTTCCAGATCCATTTAATTATTAGTCAGTCAACAAACATTTATTGTGTGCTACCATGTGCCAAACAGGGTTTAAGGAACTGGCAAAACAGCAGCATCCTAAAGCCCTGAACTTTGGATCTTTTACTTTAGATTGAGTTATGAAAATGTACCTATTGTAAGTCACATTCTTAATGCAATGAATGCCTGTTGTTCAGACAGAATCATTTGGAGGTAAAATGTGAGTTACTGAGCTAATTCCCTCTACAATTCTTTGGCACAGTTTTAGGGACATATGTAACATCTTTCAGGGTAATATAAATATTTAGACACAAAGTTACAGAAAATCTAAGAAAGAGATCTATAATTAACCCATGGATTTTTTTTTTTTTTTGCAGTACGCGGGCCTCTCACTGACGCGGCCTCTCCCGTTGCGGAGCACAGGCTCCGGACGTGCAGGCTCAGAGGCCTGGCTCACGGGCCCAGTCTCTCCGCGGCATGTGGGATCCTCCCAGACCAGGGCACAAACCCGTGTTCCCTGCATCAGCAGGCGGACTTTCAACCGCTGTGCCACCAGGGAAGCCCAGCCCACGGTTTTTAACCCCCAATTATAATTTAGGGTGAATTATGTGAGAGATACCTGGGACATTGCTAGTGATAATAAGAGTTTCCTAATTTGATGCAAAAACAGGAACGTGTAGGGCTTCCCTGGTGGCGCAGTGGTTGAAAGTCCACCTGCCAATGGAGGGGATGCAGGTTCGTGCCCCGGTCTGGGAAGATCCCACATGCCGCGGAGCAGCTGGGCCCATGAGCCATGGCCACTAGGCCTGCGCGTCCGGAGCTTGTGCTCCGCAACGGGAGAGGCCACAACAGTGAGAGGCCCGCGTACCGCAAAAAAAACAAAAAAACAAAAACAAAACAAAACAAACAAAAAAAACAGGAACGTGTAGTATTTATTTCAGATCACTTTCTTAGATTTTACCATTCTTTGTTTAATTTGCCATAATCAGACAGTGGAATTTTTCTTATTCTAATTTAAGCTAGTAAAATTCAAGTAGAGGTTAAACCAGAAGCTGGTTTAATTTTAAAATATTTGTGGGCCAGAATGTATAGTCAGATTGAAGCCAGGAGCATTGCAGAAGAGTCCAAGCAGACATTTAAGAAACGATGCCACACACTGTTGATTTTTTTTCCAGGAACTTCAGTACTTCAGAACACATTAATCTAGTTTTTAATTTCCTTTGTGAACTTGGACTTCTTGGGAATTTTACAGATTCAGTTAAGCAGAGTATTTTTTTAGGTGTATTTTTATCCATTGCTCTCCCTCCCAAGGGAATTAATTATTTCAATAAAGAAAATGTTAAAAAATAATCAAAAATGATTTTGGACTATGTTGAAAATAGTATATATACATCAATTATCAAGAGTTTTTGTTCTCTTCCCTTAGCCTGTATTTTTCTTCGTTGGTTAATTTCCTGCTACCTATTCCTTTTTTTTCCTTTCCCTTTCTTCTCCATCTTTATAGGATTTCAACTTCATTTTTTTTCTTTTTATAAATTAGATTCTATGGCAATAATCTTTTTGTTGATTTAAGAACATTTCCCACTCCCTCCATATGACCCTCTCCTCCCCTAAGGAACCAGAATTGGTAGCTGTAGAAAAGTTTGTATTGTGTGTGTATATATATATATATATATATATATATTTTTTTTTTTTTTTTTGTATATATGTTTTTTAAAAAGGCATGATTATTAGATTTTGATGGAGCACGAGTGATAATGTTAAGTGATAATTAAAACAAGTGTTTTTCAATTCTCTTTTTCCTTTTTATTCTTTATAATAAAGCTTTATACATCTTTTTTCCTGTTTATTCACAAAAGAAAGGTGGTGGGAGAAGCTGTGGAAGATTCCTGAATGCATAAGGGGATGGGATGATCAGCTGAAACACCATGTTCCTAGCCAACTCGCTTTCCAAGGTGGTGTGACTAAATCTGATCAGCTTTTCTAGAGCTGAGTGTGCCTAGTCACATTTACAATTTACTTAGTGCTTTGAAGATATCTGCTGTAATCTGTGATACTCTGAACAGGTGTTCAAAATTGATCTTGTAATAAAGCTGGCTAAGCTTATTGCATGCCTTTGCATTGCTTGCATCTTGGACTGTGTGCCAAATTATGCTTTAAAAGAAGTTTAAAAATCAAAATATTTCAGCTATCATACGTATGGGTTAAAAAAGATGGAAGCATTCGATAAGGATGCGAATTTGTTCATGTGGGTTAAGCTGGTTTGTTTACTTAGACTGTATAATGAAGGCAATAAGTTAATGTAGAATTGAAAATTCAAGAAATTTTGACAAATGGTTTGTTTTTATATTTACCCATCTTAATAATGTCAGAAAGTCTGACTTAAGTACTCCCACCATGATCATGAATGCCTTTGTATTATGTAATGCTTTGTTTAAGTCTTCCTTTCTTTCTCTTTTTCCAAGAAATGTAACCTCACAGCTGAGGCGACGACATCTTGGAAAAACTAGTGATCAAGAATAACCAGATAAACATGATGGGCATAAGGGTTATGACCAAAAGATCTCTCAGTGGCATCTATTATCACTAAATATTAGGAATATTCATTCATTCAGTAGTGCCTTCTGTCTTTGTGTTTGTTGTTGTAAGTGTGAAAGTTATAAATTCTCTGTGATACATCTGTTAGGAGTACTGTCTAACCTAAGTCACCAGCTTTGCTGTGGCATGGATACCCTGTCTTCTGAAGAACTGTTCTGCTTTTTCGAAGCATGAATGTTTGTTGTTTTGGAGCTCTTTGTATCAAATTCATGTTCACATTTTATCCTTACTTTTAGTGCTTTTTTTTTTCTTCTCTCTGGCCTATGGAAATTATTACTGAGTCATCTAATCTTCTGTGTCAGCATATAGTTTATTGATATATGGAACAATGTTAAGAAATTATACACTTGAAAAAGCCGAAGATGGTTTTTTCCAATGAATATGCTTCTAGTCCTTGAGATTTCTTGTGGAATTTTTTTTCCAATTTGTTATTCTTCATTATTCTTTTCATAAAGGAGCAGCACAAGACTAGTCCTTAATATCGGAGATAGCTGTTGTGTCACTTCCTCATGCTGACATATTTACTAGAGGGTAAAATTAATAACCTTCTAGTAAGAGTGGCAGTCGAAGGGAAGGGCTCATCTGACTTCTGGAAACCTGTGTTAAACTATAGTGCTTTGAACCTTGATTTTGGGCTCATAGGATGGAAACAAAACTAGGGACTAGTACACTCAAGGAAACTTTTGGTAGTTGTTGTCTTTTTTAAGTCTCAGGAACTGCTTATATACTTCCCTCTGTTCCTTAAACAGTTGAGCTTAAATTACCTCTATTTGAAATTAAAGGAAGAGATAGAGGGGTTTTTTTTCTGTTCTAGAAATAGTATTTGTTTGTGGCTCTAATAGCAGTGAAATTTAATACGTTATGAGAATGATTGTTCTAATGGTGTAAACTATAAGGGAAGTTAAAAAAAAAACAACCAAAACCAGACCCTCAAAGGCACAGAGTGTAGTTAACAGTTTCTTATGTATCACAGTTGAAATCTTTGGCTTTATGTTGATAAACTTGAAAACTTGAGTTTTTGTTTCTATTGTGTTGTTTTAGTTCTTGGCTGTTGTATGTAAAAAGGCATGTAGGGATGGCATTCTAAATCATATTTACTGGGAAGGCTTTTCTAAAATATTTAATATTTATCTACATTTTTCTTTTTAAAATAGTATTTTCATCTCAGCCTAGCGATGACGAATCAAGTAGTGATGAAACCAGTCATCAGCCCAGTCTGGCCTTTAGACGACGCCGTGCTAGGAAGAAGACTGTTTCTAGTTCAGAATCTGAAGAAAGGTTACTTGCTGAACAAGAAACTGAACCTTCTAAGGAGCCGTGTAAACGTCAGTTCAATAGTGGTCTCAATAAATGTGTTATACTTGCTTTGGTGATTGCAATCAGCATGGGATTTGGACATTTCTACGGTAAGTATTTGAAGATTTGTTATATATAAGCTGGTGGCAAAGAGTGAGGAATTCTGGGATCTGTTTTCAGTGTCTTCCTTAAAATATATGTCCTTGGAAAGCTTGTACATGTTTGAGCCTTGGTTTGCTCATGTGGAAACTGGGGATAGTGTTGCTTCACAAAGCTGTTTGCACTGAAATGAGGTAGTATTTAAGAAATGTAAGGATTGCTCATATATATATTTATTTAAAGAAAATATTGGAAGATTAAAAATCTGAAATGCTTATTACAAGGCAAATCATTTTAATTTAGAATCACAGTTAAAGTAGTTTTAACTGTGACTTTATTAGGATTATTTAAATTCCACGTAAATAGTTACATATGAAATGTCACAATAATAGGTGCTCATTATTTCTACTTTTAGGTTTCATGAAGGCAGTATATTTTGTGACCGTTGTTGTTACTTCCATGATTCACATGAATTAAGAATTCATTTGTTTTATATTTTGCTCACTGTTATCCTTGTTAGTGTTTATTTATATTGATTAATAATTTTCTTAATGCAAAGCCTTTAAAAGTATCCTGGGTGAAAAGAGGAAGGAATTCCATGTGGTGTTACTTTTCTTTTGGGAGCCTAACCATTGAATCTTATTTAAGGTATATATTTGTACAAAGATAAGGCTGAGAACTGAACATTCATTTTTTTGCTTTATTAGAATTTTGAAAAAGACACTTTAAACAAACGTCTTAGATCTTGTCAACTTCACAAATTTCAGTTTGCCTTGTATTAACTACTTTTAGGATTTTTGCCTACATAATCCACAGTTTAGCTTTCTGAGTAAATCTGGTTTTGCTAGTTCCTTCCAACAGTGTGTTCCTTAAGATTGAAGAATTATATGTTCCCTTTGTTCATTTGTGGAAAAGATATATTATTCAATATAGTGTAATGTTAGAAGAAACTTAGTGAAGACAATCCTGTTTAAAGTCAGAGTCAGTAAAATGTGTTTCTTCTTGTATTTAACTTTATATTAATAAAAATAAGTATTTAGACTCCTGGTGGATGTCTGCTTGAATTTAATACTGGGATCTTGTAATTTGTATCCTCCCTTGAAGTTTGTTGTAATGAGATTTGACTTGAAATATATACTTAACTTGTTTATTATCTAGCTGGAGCAAATACATGAATATGTTTTTTTGAGCATGGTTTTTTCCCCTTGCAGGTAAACATGGAGGTAACAAAGGAGAAGGTCTTACTTTAATCTTCTTTTCTTACTAAAAAAAAAAATTGGACAGTGATTTAATGTTAATCCACATTGCACTAAAACCCTACAAATTGCATGACCTTTAAGTATTTTGTAGAAAGATCAATTTAGGAGTGCTTTCAAAGTTGAGAAATTATTGCCCTGTCATTTAAGAATTTTGGTTACTTGTAAAATTTACTTTATTAATTGTATTTAATAAATATTTTCCTGTAGTATTTCAAATTAGCTTTTCAGAATAGGAACAACCTTCATAATAATAGGTCCATATAATAATATGATTGGCTCAGGGAACATAAAAAAACTTAGCTTGAATGATAGCTTTTCAAGGTCACTTTTAAAGGACATCACATTTTTTTTCTTAATTGTGGCACCGATCTCAATACTTTAAGAGCTCTTTTGAGTTGATTTTAGAGCCAGCTTGAATTTCCCAGGCACTGTGAAGTCAGTCATTGCACTCCATAATCAGTCATTTGCTTTATAATCATTTAACAAGAACTACTAAATTTGGAGTGTCAGATATATCTTGGAAGGAAGAGAGAACTAGAAGGACTGAGGATAGTAAAAGAATGTACTATAGGTATTTGGCACTGCTTCAGGTCCTGAAAGTGCTTACAAAATTTTTTTTTAAATTCTTGATGAAGCACCTATCTTATTTCTTTTACCTGTAGACTATCCATATTCCAAATTAACAGCGGAGTTGGTTTCCTCATGGAGTTGCTTTAAGTATAGGCTGTGCTGCTTTTCAGCAGACATTTCAGTGTAACAGTATAACTAGGTGCTAATTTATGAAGCACAGACAAGAATCATAGCTCAAACTATGACACTGAGTCACCCTAGAGATGGTAGGATTTAAGTTGGGTCTGGACTTAACACTATGTGGAAGGAACGTAGAACATTCTAGCAGTGGAGAACCTGATAATCTGAAAGTAAACTTGCTAGGTTTGGGAGCACTGAAAAGACTGGTAGGATTATAGCAGAATAGATATTTAGAGATAATGGAAAATAGGTTGGAATATGTGGGATGTTATATTGTAAAACATCTTGGAATCTGAGTAGGAGAGTTTGATTTATAGAGTGAACTGAGAGCAGTAATTTTAGAGGAAAAGTGCAGGAAGATAAATAGTGTGGGAAAAATTAGAACAGTTAACTAGAAGGTTTTGTAATTCAGGTATTCAGTGATCAGGACCTTGACAGTTCTCGTGGTGGTGGGGATGGAGAGAAGGTTGGTGAAATAAGGGACACTGAAGTAGCAATGGAAAACAGAACTTTGATCCTGGATGCTTGAGATATTGGTGGTTTACTTTTTAAATTCCAAGAAGTGTGTTAGCTGCTTTACTTTTGGTGTTGGGGGAGTTAGAGGGGAAGAGTTTTGCTAGATGAGAGAGTTAATAGATGGTGAGCACAGTTCGGTTTGTTTTTACCCAACTTTATTTTAGAATAAATTAGGGCAGGTGCTGAAGTTCAGTTGTTTTTGTTTTTTTTTTTTAAATGAAGACACCCTCAAAATTGTGCCTAGCAGGCAGCTGGATATATTGGCTGCAAGCTCTGGTGAGATTGAGACTCTTTACCTGTAGAAGAGAAGTCTTACAGCAGTGGTAGCAAAAACTGACAGTGGGTTAATGTGATTAAGGTAGGCAGATTTGTGGATATAACCAGAAGGCCTTATACCCTGGGTTGTAACACTTCATAGTTAGGCAGTTGAAGATGTAGAGGGGGGAAAAAAAAACCTAATTGTTTGTGAGATTGATTGACAAAGGGCACATTGATAGTCATCAGACATATGCTATGTAATGGTATTGTAAACTCAGATCTCAACACATTAGTTTTAAGTTATTTTCCAGTGGCCAAAAGAATTCATTCTGTTAGCAGTTTGAAAAAAAGAAGTTTTCAGTTGCCTTGGGAACTATAGATAAATTTATTTCGATATTTCAAAAAATCTGAGATTCTTTTGAGTAATAGTGAAACAAATTTGCCATGCAAATTTGTGATTTTTTTTTTTGAGAAGTGAATTCTAACAATATCATAGCTGTTAACTGGTAACACTTGTCTGTAATTTGGCAGAAGTTTTCTCTTTGGTGGTTTTCAAGATGTACTGAAGAAATGTTAATTTTTCAGAAATCAATTAACTATTATTATATTCTTTTTTTATTCAAACAGAAAGTCACAGAAATTATAATCATCCTCATCAGTTCACTCAGTCCCATATTATATTCTTTCATTACAAAATTCTGTGATGTCTTTTACATAATGGTATGCCACTCAGTAGATGTAATATTATGGTTGCCAAATGCATTTTGCCTTCTTTTTGATTTAGTGTTGTTGTTTTTCTCGTGCATGAAGCATGTAGCAGCACGTGAACAGCATGTCTTGGCAAATTAACATTTTGATTTTTAGGATGAAAATATAGAGCATCCTGGTTGATTTACGATTTCTTTATTACTGGGATAGGGATGGTGATACTCCAGTACAGACCTAACTAATGCAGAGTTCTTAAAAGATCTGGCTTTGAGAATGGTGGGTAATTATAGTTAGCCAGTTATTTTTCTTGCTATTCTTTTTGGGCTTGTGCTATATCATTTAGGCAAAATACAGTGAGAAAAAATAGACATCTTCATTTTTCCTTAGTTAGTAAGGAAATACTATATAACCTGTGAATAGACTCCATGGTTTGTTCCTTTCTCTGTTGAAGTGGGGAATGCAACACTTTATGTACCTTAGCCCTTAAAAACAACAGTAAGACAGAAACATAAATTTTTTTGTTTGGTAAGGTAATATGGTCTGGCTTGTTTCAATCAAAAGGATAGTGAACTGCTTAAATAAATATCCCTGGTGTATGCTAAATAAAGTAAAAAATATATTAACCTACTTGGCCTGATTTATAAATTAACATCCATATACCACCATTTGATGAATGACACTGTAAGATTTTACTTATTCCTTCTTTGTTTATATAATCAGAATTTTTATAGAACTGTGAAATGCTGATATTTTGAAGAAAATGATCCTGTCTGGATTAAGCAGTTAAATATATGCAAAGTAAATGTTTTATTGTATGTTTAAAAATATTGGTAATCATGACATTTATGTTATATATCCCTAATAAAAATTTTTATTTTTAGGCACAATTCAGATTCAGAAGCGTCAACAGTTAGTCAGAAAGATACATAAAGATGAATTGAATGATATGAAGGATTATCTTTCCCAGTGTCAACAGGAACAAGGGTCGTTTATAGATTATAAGGTATGTACTAGAAATAAAATTTTAAAATTGTGTTAGCCAGTAATTATGCTATTCAGATACAACTACAGTGCAGATTAGTAAATCAGTAATAATATTGGTAATTATAGATTGAGTACTTACTGTGTTCTGGGCACTGATGTACCTCACATACAGTATTTCTCTTATTTCTCACCACATCCCAGTGAAATAAGCAAGTATTAATTTCATTTTATAGATGGGAAAGAGGCTCAAAAAAGTTAAATAACTTTCCCAAGTCTAGCAGCCAGCAGAGCTGAATTTAATTCTGTTTATCTGACTCCAAAGATGTTATTCCTAATCACTATATTATAGTTAACAGTATTTTAATTGATATTATCTATGAAACATTATTATTATTAATGTTATTTTTACAGAGCCAAGCAAAACATTTTCATTCAGTGAGAGAGAGAGAGGAGAGTTTGTAGCTTCTCTAAGGAGCCACCCTTGATCAAGGGAAATAATCAGCCAGTCCTTTTTCTCTGGTTTCATGTCAGTTATGAAGAAAGAGAGAGCATGTTACACTATCATACCTGAAATTCACCTGGCTCCCACAGGACTGTGCTGTGTATTCTGGGTTTATGAGGATTAGCAAAATACCTGGTCTCTCTAGTTCTTGCCTAAGAAGGGTGTAGGGATTACAGATAAACTCAGGGTAGAAAGGTAAACTATTCCTTTTTCCTTCCATTTTCCTAAATTTCCTTCGCAGTTTATGTATATATTCTTTATAGGGTTATGATTGTATTTCTTTGGAAGACAGAATTCCACTTAACATCTGAAATATATCTTTCAGGGAGGGACTACTGAAGTTAATTGTAAATAGTGTAGTTTTCCCTGCCTTGAGCAGAGGATGTTATAAAAAAGAGCAGCCATTTTCTTCTTACCATCATGGTTTCTGGTTCCATAGAATGATATTGGCTGTAAGGAGACTCGCCCCGCATAGGTATTTGCTGAGTCAGTTCTTGCAGACCTTTTGTCTCCAGCTGTTAAATGTAGTTTGGGTTTTGAAGATCATCATGGAAGACCTGTCCAGCATCTGCTTAGTCACTTGATTCAAGATTTTAGAGTTTACTAGATACAGAATATTGTACCCTCCAGTCATTCTGTGGTGCTCCCCGTGCTTGTGCATTTAAAGACAATGTTACATTAGTCTGTTCTACTCCATAGTTCACTTAAAAAAAAATTGAAGTGTAGTTGATTTACAGTATTATATTAATATCAGGTGTACAGCATTGTAATTCATGCTAATTCATAGTAATTCATAGATTATACTCCATTAAAAGTTATTACAAGATAATGGCTGTAATTCCCTGTGCTATAGGATATATCCTTGTTGCTTATCTATTTTATACATAGTAGTAGTTTGTATTTCTTAATCCCGTATCCCTAAAGTGCCCCTCCCCCTTCCCTTTCTTCACTGGTAACCACTAGTTTGTTTTCTATATCTGTTTCTGTCTTGCTACATACATTTGTTTGTATTATTTTTTAGATTCCACAATAAATGATATACAGTATTTTTTTTTTCTCTGACTTACTTCAGTAAGCATAATATTCTCCAAAGTCCATTTCTGTTGGGTAGATGAAACTTGTTTTCTCTCACTTAGGGAGAGCAGATGAAATGACTGTAAGGAAATTTTAAATTTTAATTTGTTCTTCGAAGATTAATGAGCCAGACAGTGAAACATCCATTTCAGATATTTATTTTTCAAGTGGAAAATATCCTCATTCAAAGGATTTTTTTTTTTTTTGTCTCTGTAAATCAGATATTTTTCTGGTCTGATTCAAAGGGAATAGTCATAATATTTGTAGTAAATTAAGCAAAGTTATATCATTTTGCTGATTTATGAAGATATTTTAACTGACTGGATAGTGCTCTAACCATTAACTGACTGGATAGTGCTATAACCATTAACCTGTCTAAGCATATTGTTTAATTTCTTGCTGTTTTGATGAAAGTTTGTTACTAATACATGTATTGAAAGAAAGATCATTCAAGGCTACCTAGTGCTGCAGCAGAATTCTCTAAACCTGACTGGACATAATTTCTCAGCAAGAATGTTGACTTCAGAGTTGCATTGCTAATCTGGTTACAGTCTCTTCAGAAAATTAATTGAAATTGGAGAAATTAGTTGTAAATGTTACCAATATTCAGTGTGTTCTCTAAAGTATGGGAGAACTTGTATAACTTATCTGAACTTAGAGATGTTAATTTGCATACGACCAAGATCTTTCAAATAGGACTAAGATTACTGAAATTTTTTTCCTTCAAAGAGTGCAGTGAGTATAAACAGAACTTTCTGAAGCCTGAAGTCATCTCTAGCTGTAATTTTACTTTTTATAAAAGATAATCGCCCTCACCCAAGGATCAGAGAACCTTTAGTCCTTCCTACATTCTCTCGAGGAGCTTTCTCAGGAGAGATTGGAGTCCTGTAGTCAAAAGATAGAAGGCTGTCTTCCTCCAGTGTGCTATGTTTTTATTTTGATGAAGCTCTTTGCTGTGCATTTTCCTGCATATGAACCTTGTATTTTCCAGTTTTCATATATTGAAAAAACTACATAAAGGATAGTCTCTGCAGAAATAGACACTAAACATTTATGGAGTATTTGTTGTATCTTAAAGATTTAAATTCAGCCTTTAAAGCTCTTGACATTTTTCTTTCTTATCTTTCAAAAAAATTTAGTCATTGAAGGAAAACCTTGCAAGGTGTTGGACCCATACTGAAACAGAGAAAATGTCCTTTGAAACTCAGAAAAGGAACCTTGATACAGAAAATCAGTATTTAAGAATATCTCTGGAGAAGGAAGAAAAAGCCTTATCTTCATTACAGGAAGAGTTAAGGAAACTAAGAGAACAGATTAGGATATTGGAAGATAAAGGGACAAGTGCTGAATTAGTTACAGAAAATCAAAAACTTAAGCAGCATTTGGAAGAAGAAAAGCTGAAAACACAAAGTTTCCTTAATCAAAAGGAGACTCTGTTGGCAGAAGCAAAGATGCTAAGGAAGGAACTGGAAAGAGAACAACTAATAACCATGGCTTTAAGGGTGGAACTCCAGCAACTAAGCTCTAGTCAGTCATATAGCAACCCAGACTCTCCCAGTGTAGTGACTGAAAAAAAGGAAATAGAAGTGTTACGGGAAAGACTCACTGAGCTGGAGCGCAAGCTAAACTTTGAACAGCAGCGTTCTGACTTGTGGGAAAGACTGTATGTTGAAGCAAAAGATCAAAATGGAAAACAAGAAACTGATGGAAAAAAGAAAGGGAACAGAGGAAACCACAGAGCTAAAAATAAGTCAAAGGAAACATTTTTGGGTTCTGTTAAGGAAACATTTGATGCCATGAAGAATTCTACCAAGGAGTTTGTGAGGCATCATAAAGAAAAAATTAAACAGGCTAAAGAAGCTGTAAAAGAAAATCTGAAAAAATTCTCAGATTCAGTTAAATCCACTTTCAGACATTTCAAAGATACCACCAAGAATATCTTTGATGAAAAAGGCAATAAAAGATTTGGTGCTACAAAAGAAGCAGCAGCCAAAAAACCAACAACAGTTTTTAGTGAATATTTATATCCACAGTATAAGGCACATACACAAAACCAGAATAGTAGAGGCCCTACTACGCAAAGAGAGAGAAGGAAAGAAAAGCCTCATTTTGAAGAATTTGGAAAAAATACAAATTCACAGAAATGCAGTGCTGAGCATGACTGTGGTGAAAATTATAATTCTTTCAGAAAGGCTTGTTCTGGTGTATTTGAATGTGCTCAACAGGAATCCATTAATCTTTTTAATGTTAAAATGTTGAATCCTGTAAGGATAGGTGAATTTAGACAGTTAATTGAAAGGTATTTATTAGAAAAACTGGATAGTTTTCATCATTGGAAAGAACTTGATCACTTCATCAATAAGTTTTTCCTAAATGGTGTCTTTATACATGATCAGAAGCTCTTCACTGACTTTGTTAATGATGTCAAAGATTATCTTAAAGACATGAAGGAATATCAAGTAGATAATGATGGAGTATTTGAGAAGTTGGATGGATATATATATAGACACTTCTTTGGTCACACCTTTTCCCCTCCATATGGACCCAGGTCGGTTTACGTAGCACCATGTTATTATTATAATAGTTTTTAACATTTATATTGGATAGCATTTGTATCATTTGATACATTTCTTAGAATGTCACTACAGTTGACCTGTAAACAACATGGGGGTTAATCTGCATATGACCTGTAGTCGGACCCTCTGTATCTGCAATTCCTCTGCATCTGTGGATTCATCCAACGACAGACCATGTAGTACTGAAGTATTTACTATTGAAAGATATCCATGTGTAAGTAGACCCACGCAGTTCAAACCCACGTTGTTTAAGGGTCAGCTGTATTTGTAAAAGTACTTCTTGTAAACAAAAGTACTATTTGTCAAAGTACTTTATTGCCTGAGAAATTAGGATAAATTAAATTGAAAGATAAAATTTTAAGTTAAAATCTATTACAAACTGAAAATTTCATATAATCAATTTGACTTGAGCATATGGTTTAATTTCTATCTTAAAAAATCAGTTAAGGATATATAATCCTATTTTAGCCTATTTTGTTTCTTTTCATTATACTTTATGAAAAGATAATCACTTTAAGTGAAATTATTTTCCTTTAATTTTTTATTTATTTACTCACTTTGGGAAGCTAGGAGGAAAAATACAGATTTCACTTTGAAATCAGAATAACGATTCAGGTGTCCCACTTACTTTCATTTGTCTATTCCATTTACCAACTAAATTATGATATCTAATACATTTATTACAGAATTATTGTTGGTAAAGGTAGAGGCGTGATCAAAGTGGCAAACTTAGCAAGCCAAAAGTTCTAATTTGTGTGCTTTATATATAATCTCTAAAAGTAATATTGTATCCATTGCATATCAGCTTTCTATTCTGTAACATGAAACTAACCTAATCTCCTTAGCTTTATTTTTTTACCTTTTAGAAAGGTAACTAACTTTGAGATAGTTATATATATATATCTTTTTGAGTAAATGTAATGTGTCTATAAAATAATGAGACTGATTTTGGTGTCTTTAGTCATTAAATACATATCTAGTGCAAAGTACTGTGAGGCTGCCCTGAGGAAACAAATGAAAAATTCTTGCTGTCTAAGAGCTCACAAGCTTTTGGAGAATTAGGTCAGTACAAGGAATGCAGTGGAGGTATGGAGGCATATGTATATGGTGGCCTCAGTCAGGAGATGTTTGGGAAGGCTTCATAAGTGAGATGGCCTTTGAACTGAACTTTTTAACAAACTTTTGAAGGAGAAGTGAGAACTTGCCAAGCAGATAGGGTGGGACATTCCACTCAAAGGGAACTTCATTTGCACAGATTTGTAGATATGAAGACATGCTACTTTAAGGAGGCAAGGTAATGCTGGGGTGTGAACAGAAGAAAAGATTCAGAGCATGAAGAACCTTCACTTTATGCTGAAGGACTTGCTTTATTGCATTTTGGGTCACCGGCAGTAGCCTGAAGGGTTTGTTGGAAAGGGTGAAGCTAGATGCTAGAAAGCGGTCTTTGAAACAGTATAGACATGAGCTGATGGGTATCTGAACTAGGGCAGGAGTAGAAAGGAGGAGGCAGATTTGAACAATATATAGTAAGTATAACTGGTGGTATTTCTTGTGAAAGGGAAGTAGAAAGTAACAATGACTTCCAGATTTCTGGGTTGGGTCACTAGTTACATAGTAACATCAGCAACGCTAAGGAATACCAGAAGGTTTTGCATAAGGGGAATTGGAAATGAGAATTGTGTTTGGAGGGTACCTGTTGACATACAAGTAGAGAATTAGTTGGCTGTTGGTTATATGACTGTCTCTAGCCCAGACTCCATGCGTGTGTAGACAGTCTAGGCTGGACGTATTTATCAGACTCCTGGGGAACACCAACATCCAAGGGGTTGTAGAGAAAGAAGGCTGAGAATGAGTGGCCAGAGTGGCATCATGAAAATCCAAAGATCTTCTCAAGTAAAAGTAATATTGCAGTGTTGAATGCTTAAACAAAACAAAACAAAACAACGGAAAAGACTGGATTTCTTGGCTGGGAATTGGATGGCCATGGATGGCACTGTGGAGTGTTTCAGTGAAGTAGTGACAGAAGCCTGACTACAGAGATGGAGAACTGTTCATGTAGACATTGTTTATAAGCCTTAGCTTAGAGAGAGGGACTCTGTAAGAGATGTATACATATTCATGAATGAAGCCACTGGCGGGTGGATTAATTTTTATAGGAAAGGAGGAAAAATAATGGAAACATATCTCATTATTTTATTGTCACATTTCTACTTATCTATTGAGTGTTTTCCCTCTTTGCCAGCACAGTTTGTCTATTTTTTCTTTCTATAGGATAAAAGTATAAACTCACTGAATCTTTTTTGTATGGTTATAGTAGGATTATACTTCAGATTAATTTAACATCCTTTTTCAGTGTTCAGATAATAGATTAATGGAGAAAAACATTAAAATTGTTTCTTGTTTAAATAACTTTAACTCTAACATGGATGAAAAATGTGTTTACTGCTTTCAGTCGACCAGATAAAAAGCAACGTATGGTAAATATTGAAAGCTCCAGGCATCGAAAACAAGAGCAGAAGCACCCTCAGCCACAACCTTATAAAAGGGAAGGTAAATGGCATAAATATGCTCGCACTAATGGAAGACACATGGCAAACCTTGAAATAGAATTGGGGCAATTACCTTTTGATCCTAAATATTGACCATCATGATTAAGTTAAATTAGAAAACTGTAACAGAAACTTGGATGCTTTCTATACTGTTTGGTGTTGAAACTAAGATGAAATTATCAAGATAACAATGTCTTTTTATCATTTCTAAGTATGAGTTTGATGATTTTATATTATTACTCAGAAGCATCAAGCAAAAGCTTACTAACTTGCATTTTCCTGTAGTTTAGCTTTGCTGAATTTTTTTTGGCAGTGGAAATGTTCAACTGTAGATTTATATTAAGGAAGCCAGGCATGCAACAGATTTTGTGCATGAAATGAGACTTCCTTTCAGTGTATGAGCTTAAAGCAAGCTCAAATCATACATGACAAAGTGTAATTAACCCTGATATTTGTGTTAAATTTCCAGTAGAGCTTGAAAAAAGTACATTGTGATGGAATTTCATCTCTAACATTTTATAATCTTACACTTCTTGTCTTTTTGTGGGTTCAAGAGCCCGTTGACTCGTGAAGAACTTGCTGCCTTATGAGCTTGCTGACTTGTTCTCTTGTGAAATTCCTTGCACATATGAATATTGTGGAAGAAACAATAAACTACACCATGAGGAAAACTAAAGGTCTTTATTTAAAATCTGGCATTTGCATTATTAATAGATGATTTTATATTTTGTGATATTTTTCATATATTTCCTCAGTAGTGATATTTGGTAAGGCAGTTGATAGTGTTTTTTTGCTAGTTCCATGAATTTTACCCAGTATTTACTAGCATATTTAAGCAGCATCTGGATATTTCTGCTCAGCAATGTCTATTTCTCTGAGAAAGATCTAAACAAAGTCAGAATTTCATGTTCATGTTTGGTTGAGTTTCCCTTTTAACTTCCGTTCATAGACGTATATGTGACTTCCAGTTCGACGCTCCGGAAAGTGAGTGTGGAAGAAAACAGCAGTTCTCTCATACTTGTTTGAAATTAGGAAAGGATTTATTTCCTAGAAGTAAATAAATGTTTAAGTAAATAAAGGCTACTTTTTGCTGAGTACTGTTTCAAGAATTTAAGAATGACCTATTTGTTCTTCTGAAACCCTTTTCTTAATAAAACAATGCAATTTCTTAATAAAATAATTAACTCATGGTAAGTAACATATATTCCTTGGTAGTTATAGAACTAGGGCTGATTTGGACTAGGGAAAAGACCAGTTATAAAATATGGGTTGAAAGGGACCATAAAAAAAGTGATGTTGTCTATTTACCTGAGTGTTTGCTAAACCTGAGGTGAAATAAAAATACTGAGTTATACCTTTTTTCATGTTCCCTTACCTCCTCCAAGATGCTGAAGATGATCAAGTGAGTAGGCAGCGTTGAATCATTTTGAAACTCCCTATACAACCACTTTAAGGGATTTAGATAAAATATATCTGCTTCAACAAGATAATCACCTTTTCCACTCAGGTCTGGGGGACATTGGAGAAATCTCATTGGAAGTGGGTGATGGACATGGCTATAGAAAGAAAGTTACCATTATAGTTACAAGAAGTAAAAAAAAAAATTTTTTTCGTGAAAGTTTTCAAATTACTCTTAAGATACGCTCACATAACAAAAAGTGAAATCTGAATCTAAACTAGGTTCCAGTTAAGGTGAGGAGGCACACCTTTAATGCAGTTTTCTCAAAAATGGAGAATATGATTCTCACACTGTGTACCTGTGCAGTAACTTCAAGTCCAAACTAAAGAGCAAAACTCCATTTCAGGGCGGGAAGTAGGTCAGCAGCCTGTGGGACTCAGTAGTCCATAACATTAGTATGCTGTTCCAGGGATGGATGGGGCCTTTGGGACCGGGTATGTTGCTTGTTGATAAGAGAGTAATATCTGGCAAAGTAGAAAACTGGTCATGAACCAGAAAGGATTCTTTTCCTCTTTCTGCTCTGAATCCTTACATGACAAGTTTTTCCTTTTTTTTTTTCCTTAAATATTTATATAAGTAAGATTTAGTAATAGAGAGCAACATGGGTTCACTGATCAAAATTCAAATAAGTAATGGTTTTACTGTGGCATAGAAAGACTAGAGTGTATGTAAAAAAGATGGACTGATGAATTGTAACAACTTAAGCCAGTTAATTGGGCCATGCAAAAAGCCATGTTTACAACTTTGCCTCAGGAAAATTAATATAGGGACTTCCCTGGTGGCGCAGTGGTTAAGAATCCACCTGCCAATGCATGGGACATGGGTTCGATCCCTGGTCCATGAAGATCCCACACGCCATGGAGCAACTAAGCCTGTGTGCCACAACTACCGAGCCTGCGCTCTAGAGCCCGCAAGCCACAACTACTGAGCCTGCGTGCCACGACTACTGAAACCCGTGTGCCTAGAGCCTGTGCTCTGCGACAAGAGAAGCCACCACAATGAGAAGCCCGCGCACCGCAACGAAGAGTAGCCCCTACTCTCCACAACTAGAGAAAGCCTGCACGTGGCAACGAAGACCCAACACAGCCAAAAAAAAAAAAATAAATTTATAAAAAGAAGAAAAATTAATATAAATAAATGATAAAAGTTTATTTTTATCTATGAAATGCATTCAAAATAAATTTACATAAGATCTTAATACTTCATGACTGGGACTTCCCTGGTGGCTCAGTGGTTAAGAATCCACCTGCCAATGCAGGGGATACGGGTTCGAGCCCTGGTTCATGAAGATACCCCATGCCATGGAGCAACTAAGCCCGTGCTCCACAATTACTGAGCCTGCGCTCTAGAGCCCCTGCACCACAACTACTGAGCCCACGTGCCGCAACTACTGAGCCTGTGTGCTGCCACTGCTGAAGCCCACGTGCCTAGAGCCTGTACTCCGCAACAAGAAAAGCCACCGCAATGAGAAGCCAGCTCGTCACAACTAGAGAAAGCCCGCATGCAGCAACAAAGACCCAACAATGCCTAAATAAATAAATAAGTAAATAGTTATTTCATATACTTCATGACTTTTATAATTTTGAAGATGAAGGTCTTGCTTCAAGGGGAAAGCAGAAACTGAGAAAAAGCTGCCAGCCTTATATTCCAAAGTAGGTATCAGACTTTTTTGTGTGTGTGTGTGTGCTCCATTGTGCAAGTTGAAAAAATGTAAGACAAGAACTAGGTGAACTGTACAAAGCCTAAGATATCGACCACTACAACCATGTATGGGAGAGCATCTTGGTACCTCTAGAATTTCTGTTCTCTTCAGTGTTAACTCTACTGAGAGCATGGATGGAGAGTGAATGTCCCTCTCGCAGCTCTAGTCTTTTTTATATAGTATAGGATCCTCAAGTTAAAGGGATGCTTGGGGTCTTAAATCCATCTAACCTGTGGCTTTTGGTAGACATTTCCAAATTGCATATTAATGACTGGCATTAATGATTCAGTTAAGTACAGTATTCCAAAAGTGTTAAATTACCTTAAAATGATATCAAGTTTGATATTAAGTTGACTGAATGTGCACATGGAAAATTAACTTCAGATTGTTTAAAGCCAGATAGGTAAAGAATTTTCTAAAGGAAAGCTGTTTGCTTTGTCCTTTTACCCTTATTGGGCAATTGGTGAAGTAATACATCTTCCTGAAATACAAGCATAGGGTCAATGATGTCGTTTTTTTTTTTTTTTTTTTTTTTTTTTTTTTTTTTTTTTTTTTTTTTTTTTTTTTGCTGTACGCGGGCCTCTCACTGCTGTGGAGCACAGGCTCCGGAGGCGCAGGCTCAGCGGCCATGGCTCACGGGCCCAGCCACTCCGCGGCATATGGGATCTTCCCAGACCGGGGCACGAACCCATGTCCCCTGCATCGGCAGGCGGACTCTCAACCCCTGCGCCACCAGGGAAGCCCAATGATGTCTTTTTAAACGTTGCATAATTAAGGCAGTTTCAGTGTTATTTCCCAGACACACTTAATCCAAGCATTAGGATGTCATCTAATTGAATTCCCTAATTTTTACAGGCAAGACAGCTGATACCAAAGAGACTAAAAACACTGGTTTAAGACCAGGGCAACAGTCCAACAGTAAATCTGGACTTGAATCCAGTGTTTTGAGATTATTTCAAAATTATGTAAATAATAAGATGTACAGTAGGTTTGTACGGATCAATGATAAGTGAATTTCTTTACTAAGAGTACCATCAAATAAGCCTATATGATATTTTATACTACCTTTAAATAGTATAAAATATCATATAGGCTTTTGATCAGATTATTTAAATCTAAGTTGTTTTGAAAAGAGAATATTAAAGTTTATTTAAAAGTTGTATATGATTTTCATTGACATAAATAGCAGTTTCAAATTTCTTATAATCATTTGATCAATTAATTTAAATCCGGGAATCCAAAAGGAATTTTAAAGTAGTTTTCATAATAATAGCATATAGTGAACAAATTTTATTACCTATAATAAGGAGTAGAGTGACAAGGCATCATCATAAGTACTGAAGCTGAAGATGTATTGTTGTAACAGAGTTCTTGAATATTAGTCATAACATCAAGAGTACCTCGTTGATGAACTAAACCAGTATAGAGGGCAAAGAACATATTTGATAAAAACAGGAAACTTAGAGCTGGTTTCTTCCACAATTTCAGGTTGTTTAGGGAGTATCCTATATAAAGATAGACACATTGAATCATAACACTGGTAATGTTTTATTTTCTTATAGCTAAGCAAATATTAACTGCAAATATATTGGTAATCTTTCATGGAAGTGTAGTACAAGCTGTAAGGCTGTCATGGACAAACAAGAAATCAGCAATACGTCATCTTTGTAATTTCTCTGACCATTCACTGTCACTATCCATTATCATCCATGTCTTGACCTTTTTCTAGAAAAAGGAATTGAGGTATAGGGGAAAGATTATGGCTAGGGAGTCTAACAGAAACAGATTTGAATTCTAGCTCTGGAATTAGTTTCACTATCTTCCCTAACAGTACCTTTTTCAAGTATTAGAAAAAAAATGTATGTCCAGTGCCTGTCCTGGTACACAGTTGCTAAACGAACAGGACTTGTATTTATTCAATTTACCTATCACTTTAATCTCCCAAGCACTAGCAATGGATTGTGTACATACAAGTCTCAGTAATTCTGGAGGAAGTATAACAGAATATCCTCTTAGAAAAATACACCACTAAGCTCCTGGGAGATTTTCAGTGGTCAGTTTATGAGTGGTGGCATGGATCTCTTTCTGGAAGAGAAGGATTTATGTTTTATTATTATTTTTTTCTTTCACTATAGTGTTGGACAATTTGGAGATGCTAAACAATTTTTCTTTTTTAATCTGTAAAAGTAATTCTTGTATGTGGCAGAACAAAACCAAAAAACCACTTTGCTAAGGAAATCTGTATTTTCATTTTCCATAGTGAGAAGTCAGTAGATAATGCCAAAAACAGTAACCTTTAAGAGCATTATTAGCATTTTATTTAGAGGGAGACAAATAACAAAACAACCACCTAAAAGAGTGTAAGTGATTGCCTCTGAGTATGGTAATGGGAGGGAGGGCAGGGGAACCACTGTTCTTTAAAAATCCTTATCTGACTTTTGAAACAGTACATGTGCAGTTTTGCTGAAAAGATTAGCATATGGAAAAACAAAGTGGCCTAATCAGAGACC